AAAGAGGTGGAGTCAGAGAGAAGCCATGGAGCTGCTGCTGGAGACAGATGTACTGAAACTTTGCTGGTAGACCACAACCTTGTGGTGATGCACAGATTAATGAAGATGGGTTCAATTAAGTTATAAGAGTTAGCCAATAAGAAGCTAGAGCTAATGAACCAAGCAGTGATTTAATTAATACACTTTCTGGGTTGTTATTTCGGTTCTGGGCAGCCAGGACGAACAAACAGCTGCAGCTGCCTCTAACAGCTGCAATTGATGAAAAGGGAGACTGTGATTTAAGATGGAAGTTTGAATTTAGAGTTTGGATTATGGTTCTTGTACCTTGACCAAGCTGAACTCTGAGCTTTCATTCCACTCTCCACAATGGTAGGATATCAAAGCAACACCTCTCATAGGGCAGATGGTTTAGCTGGAATGCATGAAACATGTAAAATCCTTTGCACGTTGCAGGTGCCGAGTAAATGATGATAATCCTCTCATTAGATGCAATTTTGTTTGTGGTTTATTCTTTTTTTTTTTTGTTTCCTCTCCACATCCAACTGATTTTGTGACCTTACACATGAAACCACAACATTCTGCGTCTCAGTTTTCTGATCTGCAGTTTGGGAATCAAAACAGATTTTCCCTGCATGCCTCATGGAGTTCTTACGGGCATTTGTTGATGTCACCGTCATCATTGAGCTCTGCAGCAGCGACGACATTGTCATCGTCATCAACATCATCTCAGTAGCAGCAGCACCACGATGATGACCACAACCACCAAGACACCTTCAGATTCAGATCCCAAGGAGCCCTTTGGGTTTTCATAGCTGCCTACTCAGAGCTGCTAGGCGAAAGGCTCAGAAAAGAGGTGCCACAAAGTCCCAACCTCAAACAGTTTAGGCGTGGCTTCAACTTAGAGGCAACAGACAGGGGTTCCTGGGAGAGATCTTGAAAAATCCCCATAGCACCATCTCAAAACCAGACACGTCAGTTCATCTGTCTCCATCTACAAACCAAAGTCCTAGAATCGCAGTGACAGGAGCCAGATGGGGCTGCAAACACTCGGAGTGTTTGCAGCTTTGTGTTGCAGCATCCACGTCACTGTTTACTGGGCACCTCTGTGGGGAGTGCTGAGAATTCCATCCGTCTCATGTGTGGGAACATTACAAGGCAAAGATAAGCGTGGAATTCAGGACTGTGGTTGGGAGGGATAGAGGAGGGCGAGGCACACAGCGGGACCTCAATTAGCAATTACTATTCTTTAAAAAGCTGTGTACCGATATGGTTGTTTAATGATCTTATATATTTATAAACGGTGTAGATCTATTCATATCTATGTAACATTTAATAATAAAAAGGGGAAAATAACAGAATCCCCTAATCCAGAAACAAGAAATCCCACACCATGTGAGCTATACCTATTTTTGTCTCTTATAAACTAGTTTGTCCCTATCACTTCTCCTAAACTGTAGTCCACAGTGACTGATGGATAACTTCACTCTTTGCTATACTGTTTTCTGCTCCCCACTTTCCTGGCGTTTTATTTGAAGGTACACCTTGAATCCCACCCTTGAAGTTATCTATTTGTCAAAGTGTAGATCAGTGGACTGAGGGCCTCCTGGGAACATTTTGTCTCTACTCTGGTCTAGGACATAACTCTGGCAGACAGCTTGATCATTTACGATTGCTCTATTTTAAGCAAAATGTCCTTGTGTGATTTATTCCCAATGACACCAAGCTGCTGCAAGAGTCTCCAGTGTTAACCTGTTTAGTCCTTCCTACCAAACACACGCCCTAAGCAACTGTCCTTCATAGTCACATCAGAAGTGGCTGGGACTGTGTATATCTGCCCAACAGGAGAAGACTGGAGTCTTTTCCTTTCAAGGTATAAGCAAGGGAAGCAACAGTGGCTCCAGCGTTGGTTAGGCTAGTTTGTTAAATGTGTGGTCTTGTCTGAGGAGCTGGGAGGGCGTATTAGCCATCCTTCTTGTTGCAGCTCCTCATTTCCCAGGGAATCCAGAGATGTGTGGTGGCTGGTGGGTTGAAAGGATAAAAATGGAGGCCTGGTTATCTTTGAGATAAACGATTTCCACACCTGCCATTACATGAGTGAGGAGGAGCTGGGAACCACACAAGCATTGCGTGTGCCTACGCAGTGTTAGCTGGAAGAGGTAGGCTTGGGGCACAGGTTACCTTTACGTGATTAGCTTCTTCCCTGGGCTAGGATGGGGTTGGGAGGAATTCAGGGCTTTCTGGTACTGTTTATTTCCTGCGAGTGACTTCTTTGGCCCTGTTTTGTATCACAGGGCAACAGTCAGACGTCAGTAACCAGACATAGGCACTAGCCAATCAGAATGGAGAAGGGATTTATGGTGGTGATCTCAGTGTCTCTGGCTAGATGCTGGGTGGTGAAGGCGAGGAGAGGGTCTGGGGGAAAAATCTAGGTGTGGGATGGGAAGAAGCTGCAAGGAGCATTGAGTACCTGCAATTCAGTAATTTTAGTACAGACCTATTTCAGTTTTCTAAGCACCGGTGTAGCCATGCTCCTGCCCATGACAGAGGTGGAGGAGATCTTTTTCTTTGGATCTTCTGAGCCACTTGGGGGCCTTGTTTTCACTTAAAGACTGCTGAATATGACTCTCAAGGTCCTAGATTAGGACCACTATCCTAGGGAGATCTGAGAATCCCTGGGCAACTAATCTTTAGTAATTAGTTCTAACTTTGGAAGGGTTGATGACTTGAGAGATGGAACCCAAAGGGGAAGTACGCCTAAATCAAGCATGGATTGTGTGCATGAATGACGCAGGCCTGGGGAACTGGCACACCGACAGGGCTGTTGCTATTTTGTTGAAGCCACCGTATCCTTCCCAGCTCTTTTAGGCTGCTGCCACACAGTAGAGCTGGTGTGCGTGGCAGTCTGACTTTTCAAGAGATGTTGAGACTCAGAGTCATTGGGTCAGTGTTAGGACTCACCAAGTCGACATTGCTTCAAATTCTTCTGCTCCAAGAGCCCTGCCTTAGAGACGGGTGAGGGGTGGGAATAAGGGTAAACCCAGGGGAGAAAGGAAAAAGATGAGCTCTGATGGGGGGGGTCCTTGATGAGCTTTTTCTCAGTATGGCCCTCAGATGGTTGTGGCCCACTGCCATCTCTCGGCTGTCCTCCCATGTCCTCCAAACACATCCTACCCCGAACCCCTTTGGTGTCAGGGTCTGAGCCTGAAGCAGCAAGGTACTTCCAGGACCTCTGACTCTTAGCTGGGAGGTGTAGCGTGTTCAGAAAGGAATTTCACTTCAGACTTGGAGTGTTGGTTCTCTGGAATGTTCTACTAAGGAGCAGATTTGTCAGTGGAACTTGGCTTGACTGCTACATTTAAGCCCAGTTGTGGAAGCTTTCTGTCTACTCAGAAACCCACGTCTCCATTGTTCACTCTCTCTCTTGCCCTTTCTTCAGGACTCAGACTGTGTTCTGAGCTCTGAGGCTAGGCTGTGTGGATTTCCTTTTAATGTCACAGTGTTGGACAAACCCTTTGCTTTAGAAATTCCCACCTGGAATTTTAAAGTCTTTTTTGCTGTTTTGTTTTGTTTGAGACAGGGTCTCACTATGTAGCCTTAGCTGGCCTACAACTTGCTGTGTAGACCAGGCTAGTCTTGAACTCATATAGAGATCCTCCTGCCTCTGCCTCCCCAAGTGCTGGGACTAAAGGTGTATGCCACCAGTTTCAGCAGTCCCATTTTCTTAAAAACAACCAAACCTAGCAGTTGTAGGTATTCATTAAGCATCATTTAAGTTGTTTTTCTTCCTTTTTAGAAGTAACTTATTTTTATTTTATGTGCATTGGTGTTTTGCCTGAATGTATGTCTGTGTGAGGGTGTCAGATACCCTGGAACTGGAGTTACAGACAGTTGTGAGCTGCTGTGTGGGTGCTGGGGATTGAACCTGGGTCTTCTGGAAGAGCAGCCAGTGCTCATAACTGTTAAGCCATCTCTCTAGCCCCCTTAAGTTATTTTCGTATCTTGGGTAATCTCCACAGTGGTCCAGTGAGGTTGGCATTCCTACCCCTACTGATGAAAGAGAATGTCTGGGATAGTCTGCCCAGAAAATGAGAAACAGAAACCTGAACTCTGTGTCCAGCAGAGCCTGCTGGCCTTTTCTGAATTTGTAGCCAAAATTACACCATGTTGCCTTCTAGCAGTTGGGACTCATTCACTGTCCCGCAGTGAATAATGGTCTTTTGGTTCATCCATTACAGTCCCCAGACGGATTTTGCAACCAGATAGTTTGGGTTCTCATCCTTGTCTCAGCCAGTCTGTGGCCAATTTTCAAGTTTCCATTTCCTCGGCTCTATAAGGGAACAGTTAGAGTTGCCCTGCAAAGTTTTACGGTAAGTATACAAGGAGATGAATGTATGATTCTCATTGCTGTATCCAGCATGGAGGTAAATGTCAGACAGGTGTTGGTGGAATAAAAGAGTGGAAGACGCTTGTGAAGAACAGGGTCCACAGAATCAACTCACCAGGGCTCATGGGGCTTGCGGAGACGGAAGCAACAATCAGGGAGCCTGTATGGGTCTGAACTAGGTCCTCTGCATATATGTTAGTTGCGTAGCTTGCTGTTCTTGCGGGGCCCCTATAGGAGTAGGGGGTATCTCTGACTCTTTTACTTGCTCTTGGGACCCTTTTCCTCTGCTGGACCCTTTGCCTCATCCAGCTTTGACATGATCTATTATTGCAACTTGTTATACTGTGTTCAGTTGATATCCCTGGGAGACCAGCTCTCTTTGGAGGGAAAACAGAGGAGGAGTAGATCTGGGGAGAGGGGAGTTGTGTGTAGGGGGAACTGGGAGGTGTGGAGGGAGGGGAGGCTGTTGTTAAGATGTAATATATGAGAGAATAATAACACACAACTGGAGGAAGCACAATAGGCTTTTGCTTACAACTAAATGTCAGAATACACTTATCAATGTTATGGTAGGGCTGATACATGAAAAAAAGTTCCATTTTCGTCAAAAAAGGTGTTCATGAAATCAGCTTTTACTTGACAATATCAGCTCATCCCACCCAAGCACTGGCGGTATGATCTGGGAGGCCTTCCACTCTGGGAGGTTATCCTGGAGAGATGGCAGGAACTGAAAAACTTCTCTTTCATGTTCCATATTCATTTCTGTTTCATAGAAATCCTTTTCTGTTGCCCTGTAAACACTCTACTTGATAGTCACAAACTGGACCAGTTGCCACTGGGGAATGGCCTAAACAATCAGTTGGCTTATTATACTGTATATTTGCTGCTCTGGGTCTAGAGTGACTTGGTATACTTAATGAGAGTGATTTTTTCTGCAGTAAAGATGAGGCAGGGGTACCCACATTTAGAAAAGATCATCGTGTATTTCTGTCCCTGCGACTGTACTATTTCTCCATCCAGTTGGCTGTCCTGAGTTGAACATGCTGATTTCATGGTGTGTACATGAATCCCAATCTCACAGAAATGCAAGAACAACATGCTACCGTGGGCCCCACGGGCTCCAAAACTCAAGCACATATGTCGTATTCTTTGGCAGGATTATGATTTCATTTTATTCTATTAATGTCTAGAAGTGCCTACAGATCATTCAGTTTGCCAAGTGTGTGGGCGGGTTAAAGATATATATTTGCAATCTCGAGACCTGCAAGAACTGTCTGCGGTAAAGGACTAATTAGACCTGCCTCTTTTTTGTTTTTTTAAGTGGCATCCAGCCTTAGTAGCAAGTGGCATTTATGCATCGAAGTGTCCACATTGATGGGCATGTGATGAGTGCTAAGTCACAACAATTACATTTAATGAGAACTAATGGGCTGTCTTAGAGCGTGACCCTGACTCCCAGAGCTGCCATCCCCGCTCCCCCGCCCTATTCACAAAGCTCCCTGGCCAGACCTGCTCACGTCAGTCCATCCATGTGGAGTCACTTCATTTTGACCCTTTCTCCATGGCAGACTCTGTCCTCTTCCCGCTTCTGCCAGTGGTGTAAACATTGCACCCACCGAGCCTGTTTATAGTCTTCCTTGAGAAGTCCATTCTTCCCCACTTCCTGCCCCGTCTCGTCTGTGTCTGTTGCCTGCAAAATTCTTCCTTTATTCCTTCTATCTCTTTTTTCTTCCCAAGCCTTCTCTGTCCACTTCCCTTGGTAGCAGCTCTCCCCAAAGAGCTCCCCTTCTTGCCCTCTGCCTTTGTCCTATTAGGGGAAATAAGTCATCTGCCCCAATGCCTCAAATGGTTAGGAGCCTCGGAGAGCAAAACTGTTGGAATGCAAGCAGAATATGGATCTAAACTCACTGTGCAGTCAAGGTTGCTTTGAAGTGCATTGTGCTGTGAGGGGAAGGATGAAAAGTTCTATAATGCCATCCATGTCCCTTATCTGCCTCTCCATGCTCCCTGTTTATCTACTGTGTACAAATGTATGGAAAGAAATGGGCCAAGGAGCTTAACACATAATAAAAATCTTTTGGCATTTCGTAGTCAGCCTCCTCTCTGGCCTTGTTTGTAGTAAACTCTGGAAGTAACTCTCTTCGGTTTTCGTGGTTTCTCAGAAGACGGCAGAGGCTGTTCTGTGTGACGGAGAGAGAGTGGGCTGGCGACGAGGTCAAAGAGGCTCTGAGAACAATTTCACCTCTGCCATACTGCGCTGTCCTAGGATGTGGAGACTACGTTGAGGTTGAGCGTGCACTAGCCGAGGGGCCAAATCCTGCACGCGGAAGGCCCAGGCACCGACGTTTTCCCCATTCCTTGGTTCAAGCCGTAGGCTCGGCTGAATCAATCACTAAGTTTAGAAACATGCTGGGTGGTGTTGCACACCTTTAATCCCAGCACTTGGGAGGCAGAGGCAGGGGCAGGTGGATCTCTGTGAGTTCAAGGCCAGCCTGGTCTATAGAGTGAGTTCCAGGACAGCCAGGGTTACACAGAGAAACTCTGTCTCAGGGTGGTGGTAGGGTGGATGGGGAGAGAAGGCCAACCAACTCAGGGCAGCAGTTCACGCCTTCCCAGTCCTTCAGGTTAAAACGGGTGCTCGAGGAGACGAATCCTTAGAAGACCGGGAGGATGCCTGTAATGGAGGCAGACTGTATTTACACGCAATTCACCTCTTTTTGTATCTAAGAAAAAGCCACCCAAGGAATCATTTGCTGGTAAGTACGGTCTGTGTGGCTGAAGCAGTGGATAGTGGGGGCATCGTCTTGCCAAACGCTGACTTTCTCCGGAGGTCAGTCTGTTGTCCCGAGTGGCAGCCACTTCGGTGGGCGAATAGGACGGTCATCTCTGCTCCTGAGGGGACTGCTTCAGGCTGGGACCCCTTCAAGGTGGCTGGCTGTTCGTGTTTTCCAGAGGTGGGATGGGAGGCATAATGCTTGGTGGGAGGAGGGCTGTAATTCTGAAATCTCACGGTTTTGACTTGCTGTGAGACAGAAAGAGGAGCAAAGGACCAGGTGTGAGATGTGTATTCTACCCTCAACCCCCGGATAAGATGTGTCCCTGCTCCACAGTTGTCCCCACTCAAGACGCCTCATTTATGTGGTGTTCATTCAGCAAGCATTTGTGTCTACTACGCATCGTGTAATATACCCTGTGGGGTGCTGGGGACCTGAGAGGGGACAAACCCACTGCTGTGATGGGAGACGCGTGAGCCTCTGAGGTGGTGGAGTAGCGACTCGTAGGCAGCCAGGGAAGCTGTTCTTGAGGCAGAAGGATTGAAGAATGAGGGTGAATAAGGGAGAAAACAGGGTTAACAGTGGTCTTCACAAGGACCCTTCTGGAAAATACAAGTTCACCTTTCCCCTCTCCTCCCGTTTTTCCTTAAGGTTTTTCTGGAGGCCTGGGTCTTCCTCACAAGTTCCCCATAATCTCCTTAGAAATGCTCATCCCAGAGCTGGTTCCCTGGACACCCGCTGTTGCTATCTAGCCTTTGAAGTGTTGACTGACTTCTCTGTACATTAAGACCACTAGACAAATATACAGGGCAGCATTTCATGTGTGTTTTTCAAAGATGGACGAAACAGAGTCAAGTGTGGTAGCACAGGCATTTGGATGGGGGATTGTGGGTTTGAGGCCAGTTTTAACTATATAGTGAAAATACGTCTCAAAACCAAAATAAAACCTAGATGCAAGCATCCAAAATAGCCTAAGATCTGGAGCTCTGGGATGATCAATACTGGCAACACCTGGCTGAGCTGAAGGGTTGCTCCCTTTTTATGAGACTGTGTCTCCACTTCGCTTGAAGCCCCATCTCACTCTGCTTTCTCTCATAGGTCTCCTAGGTGGTTATGCATCTTGCTTGGCAATTGTAGGTGTTTGCTTCCGCTAGTTACTGTTCCACAGCTTAGTAAAGCCTTCTTTCTGTGGTACTTCCTGGGAGTTACTTCTTTGTTCCACAAGATTACCTCGTTTTTATCTCCAAGTTTCCCCTGCTTTCTGATTCTCACCGTTTCCACTGGGATCTTGGGACGTCAGAGTCTGGGGGTTGTGTCTGATGACTTGGGAGATTGGACAACTGGGGCGTGGGATCCTTTGGATTGCATGAACACTGGAAGTTGGAATAAGCACTCCCAACCCTTCTGTCAGTCACCACGAACTTTTCCAAGTGCATTTCTGTACAGGCTGAGTAGAAAGAACCTGAGCTTTTGTATTGGATACAGATGCCAGCTGCGTGGCTTTGGGCAATGTTTAACTCCCCAAGCTTTTGCTTCCTCATTCTACATGAGGATGAAAATGATACCTGCCTCAGAGGGTTGTTATTGGGGCTTAATGAGATGGAACACATGGAGCTCTGTGCATGGTGTCTGCTAGCACATTTAGTAGTTAGCTTAGCAAATAGGAGGGAACCCAAGCCACCCATTGTTGTAGGGTGTGGGTGACAGTGGGGTGGTGGTGAGGGTGGTAGTGGGGGGAAATGATTGGCAAGTGCGGTGATGCTCAGTACAATGAAGGATCGTGAGGAGCATCACCTGATTCCTTTATGTCACCTTCTCCTTTTCATTGTCTCTCTTGCCTCAAGGACCTTATAAAACTCCATGTACTCTAGCACAAAAATCTTCAGATGTTAACAGATCTGACAGATGCCATAGATGCCACAATAAGGTAGCTGTTAGAATCACCAGTCAATGTGACTTGGGCATCACTTAAGTTCTCCCTCGTCTTAGTTGTTCCTGTCACCCGATGGAAAAGTATGTATCAAGCCCTGTGTAAACACTGCACATATCTTACATAATGTCATCGCCAAGCCCATGTACGGCCATTATTATTATTTACCTAACATCTTTTAGATTTATTTTTATTTTATGTATATGGGTCTGTCTTGTTTGCATGTCTCAATGTGCGCCACGTGTGTCCCTGCCAAGGTCAGAGGAAGGCATCACATCTGGAACTGGAGTTGTGGGGTAGTTGTGAAGTCACCATGGGGGTACGAGGAACTGAATCCAGGTCCTCTATAAGAGCTGCAAGTCCTTTTAACTGCCAAGTCATCTCTCTAGGCCCTATATTATTATTTCTATGGATGAGGCAAATAAGGAAATCATGAATGAATAAACAAAGCCCCAGAAGGGTGAAGTGTATTAGCCAGAGCCACCTAACCACAGCAGTGATTCAAATCAAGCCATGTTTTCTCCAGGCCATTTCTGAATCATAGAAGAGGCCTGAACAAAGAGAATGAGGAGTATGTTTATGAAGGAGAAGGCATACTTGCTGTGAGGGGGGTAGGATTGTGTGGTGTGTGTGAAGATTCTATTGGAGGCTGCCAGTGTAGTTGGCAATGTCCGTGGTGTGCAAAGCTGGGAGGCTAAAGAATCAGGCTTCCAATTATACTCCATCCCTACCTTTTCGGTGCCATTTTTTGAATTTTCTGGTTTCACAAGGATCGAGGGTGGGGCAGATGCAGGTGGCTTGGGCGGTGGCTCACTCTTGATGGGTATCTCTTTGCCTTCCATGATGAGGGAACTGGCCGCTGAGTGGATCCTGTTCTTGCCACCTCTGCTGGTGCAGGTCAGGGCAGGTTCCCCAGTAGAAATGGGTTTAGACCCCATCTCTACCATCATGGGTGTTGGGGAAGAGGTCATTCCCTGTGGCTGATAGAACTGGTACTTCTGAGGCCGGATCACCATGGTGGGGCTGCGCCTGAGAGATCCCACCATGAAAGTGGGGATCCCTGACTGCACTGGTCTCTGCAAGGATCCATCTGCAGAATGACAGAGCAGTATCAGCAAAAGAATGGCTGATAGAGGATTGCATGTGGGCTGGATATGCACTGTGTCCGCTATCCCAGAATAGATAGGTAAGGCTTTTCTAATATGACCACTCACACTCTCCTGGGGTCTTTCAAAGGTGACCTATTCTATTTTTAGTGTTATTTGCTGTTGCTGGCAGCAGGTAAATGTCTAGTTGAATGCCGTGTGAGGTAGCTGAAGGAATGCTGCTTCAATCGATGTCCCCTCTGCCCCCTTTTCTCTTCCTCTAGCCCTTTAGGATGGCTAGGGAAACAGACACATAAAGTTTCACAGTGAAAAAAGCAAACAGAGAGGCGGACAGGCCAAAGAGGAAGAAGAAAGTGAGAAGCACAAAGTGAGCAGACAACAGAGCGGAGGGCTGAAGAGGGAGAGGAGGCTGCTGCCATCCCTGTGTGCTGAAGAAATCGTTAATAGAAATTTTAAGTGTGGGGGTGGGGCAGTCGCCGAGAACACCTCCTGTGCTCATGTCCTTGTTTACTTACTTCCTGGTGCTCAGCTAAGGTTCCCAACCACAACATGGAGTGTGGATTGCTTCTTACAGGATATATAAACTGCCAAGCAGCACCTGAAGCACAGGTGCTTGCTGGCTGTCATTATTATGTGAAGGACAGTGCAGTGTGCCCTAGCAACGCAGAAGTCTGAGGGGTGGTGTGTGTGTGTGTGTGTGTGTGCTTCTTGTAGACATTCCTTCCTCAGTTAACGGAAACCAAGTCCTCCCCAAGAGGTTCTAAGAAGAAGGTCCCGTTCCTTGGGCAGAAGTTCTATAAGTGACCAAAGAAATGGGAGGCTCCTTGCCTTTGGAGAAAAGACTGTGTGAAGCATTGTGGATTGTTCTCAAAGGGTCTCCAAGCGTTCGAAGAACCATATATTATCGATGATGGTCTTTTCTGACAGTTCTTGGACACATTTTTTTTTCCTGACACAGGGTTTCTCTGCATAGCCCTGGCTGTCTTGGAACTTACTCTGTAGAAGAGGCTGGCCTTGAACTCACAGAAATCTGCCTTTCTGTGCCTCCCAAGTGCTGGGATTAAAGGTGTGTGCCACTACTAGCCAGCTTGGACACATGTTTAAAGCAAAGTCATCCGTGTCTAGCATGGAGGGCCTGAGCCAAGCCACACTTTGTATTGTGGTTGCGAACCTTCACCAAGCAGGAAGTTGTTACTGTGGACAATGAGCTCAGGTGTAAGCAGGAAGTTATCATGGACAATGAGTTCAGGTGTGTTCTCAGTGCCGCAAGCATTTTGCGATTCGCTGAGGCTGACCCTTCCATTTCCACATTCGTTTTTTCCACTGATTAGCGGCATAGGCCTTTGGAGAGACTGACAGCTTGACCTACCTCACCTTGGAAAAAGGGAGAAAGGAAAGCTTCTGCAACTAGGGAAGTCAAAACAATACCAGACAGACACGTCCTTGACTCCCATAGATGTGGAGAGGAAAATTGGCTTTTTTGCCTACCTGGCCAGTTTGCAGTTTTCAAGCGACCTAATACTCTCTTGTTATGTGTGCATACAACACAAACCGTCAAAGTTCTAGGTCAATCAAGAGTTATAGAGCCATAAAGAGGTAGTGTATTAAAAATATGTGAGCTATCATAAGTGGAATGCAATTCTTTGCATGGCTAAGTGGTCTGGACTGACGGAACATCTCAACCCTAAACAAGCTCATGATGTAGATGGACCAAAGATGATTGGTTTAGTTATAGTAGTAACGAAGTGATTTCTATACTAATAATTAAAGTTACTTTATCGAGAAAATAACTGTTTTTAAAAGCCATGTTCTCAAGAGATTGTTATATGGTAGACACTGTATGGTTAGCCTAGTAGTTAACCTGATAGGGATACTGGGCCAACACGGTATATCACATGGAGGGTGATGAGCTGAGTATTATTTCTACTTTACAAATGAGGAAAATAAAGAGGGCAGAAACTTGGACTAGGCTGTTAGGGTGGATAATCGGTGGGGGGGGTGAGGCTGAAACAGGAGATACAGGTGGGCACAGTTAGAGGCTATGCCGGTTATGAGATGGAAAAGGCTGGGACATGGAGAAGTGACTTCCCCTTCAGCATACTGTCCCCTATGCTACTCTGCTGTCCCTGCGCCTCATGCTTTAATCATTTGGTGAGATGGCCCGAGAGACGGCAGGGCCAGTTTTGAGTTGGGGATGTAGAACAAAGTGTATGTCCCACACTTGGATTGTGACCGGAAGGGATCCTTTCTTGCTTCGTACAATGAGGTTTTAAGATCTTTCCTGAGTCCCTGCAAATGAAATCTCATGCCGAAGTTTACTATGTTGAGAATTAATCACAGCATGGCATTGATGATAGATGTGCATGTACTGCTGTGTGCTCAGTGTGGATGGCATAGAGGGAAAAAAAGAAAGTCATGGAATGGTGCACACAGTGTGACTGGAAGGTGTCTATCAATCTGGAAAAATTTGGACCTGGTGGGCTCAGAATGAGAGTCTTACTTTTGTATAACCTTTTAAAAAAAGAACTTCTCTGCATGGGTTACATAAACAATATAGTAGAAAATGGGTTCTGAGTACTGTCTCTAGAGTCTTGTCTTCTCCTCCCAGGCCCTGCCCGCTCAAGGGGTGTCTCCAGAACACAGCACTGGACCAGCAACGTCAGCCTTTGCGTGGGTACCCCCTTGGCTACAATCCAATCACATGCTGCCACCCCGTTATTCACCATGTAGGTATGAATGGACCAGACGGAAGTGGTCTTCAGTCGGTCTAGGCTACACTCAATAAAGGCACTCCTCCCTTGGGAACTATCCTTTGCAGAGGCTCAGCTTAAAACCAGTTGTTTTTGTGAAAACCCTCCAGTGTGCCCCAATCGGAATCCCCGCTGTTTAGCTCTAGGCACGTACCTCTCGGCCACCACTTACTCTTTCTCATGCTGCTCCGCCCTTTCCGAAGAGACCCTTGTCCCGGAGTCCCTGGGCCAGCTGTGCTCCCCGCAGGGTTAACCATGGCAGTGGGCACGAAGACAGATTTGAAGGGTCGGTTTTGCCGGGGATCACCTTCTGAAAAGCTACCCTGGGAGGACACAGAGGAGGTGGGTAATGCCCATGTGGTGTAGACAGTGGGACTCCGGGGATCTGGAAAACTAGATGTCTTTCTAGCTGTTGAACTAGTTTGTAAAAGAGAAGAAATGGAGAGAGAAAATGTTCAGTTAAGAGACCTATTTCTTTTTTAAACAGCTCCCAACCATATGAATGTAGTCGCTCTTGACCATTCACACCCACTCCTTTGTCACCCACAGATCTGCCTACCGTGATCCCACCTCCCTGCCACCTTAAATGACTATGCGGGTCCTGACATCAGGGAGATGGGCTTATGAGGTCCTGGAAGACCCTGCACCCTCAAACTTCATTTTTTCCATATAGCTCTGATCACCCTTCACCCCACACTCCTTCAGCCCAAGGCAGGGCACAGGCCTTACGTGAGCTCGCTGATCTTTGCTTGGTTTGTTTGGTAAGTCTCTGTTTACTCAGTAGCTTTCCCACTCAGTGCTAAACCGTCTGAAGGTGAGGGTTTCTGAGGTTTATCTTATAGCCTCTGTGATCTGCCTATACTGCTGATTAGTGTGTGTGTTGAACGGCAGCCTCCATGGCTTGAGAGTTCCTTCTAGTCATTTTGGTTAGCACACGTTGAGGGTTTACTGCAAGCCAGACACTGGCCAGGTACTTCACGCATATTAATGTGAGTTCTTTGTGACAGTTTTCCCGGACAGTGCTGCTATCCCTATGGCTTTATAGACTTTTTAATTTGTAAATTACACAGAGCATTTATGGGACTGGAGAGCGCGCTCAATTGGTAAAGTGTTTGGTGTGAAACCACGAGGACCCAAGAACAATCTCCACTATCCAGTTACGAAAAGCCAGCCACGGTAGTAGTATCTTGTGATCCCCAGTCAGGGGAGGGGGAGACAGGCAGATCCCTGGAGCTTGCTGGCCTAGCCGAATTGTTGAGTTCTAGGCCCTAGTGAGAGACCCTAGCTCAAAAGACGAGGAATGACACTTGAAGTTGACCTTTGGCCTCCACACCCACTTGCACACACATGTGACTTCTCTTACACACACACACACACACACACACACACACACACACACACACACACACGGTATATGTGGGGGAAGATAGACACACAGAGACTCATGGTTACTCGGCCAAGCAATTACCAGACTAGAGGTCTGGTAAACCAGGTCTGAGCTAGCTCTCCCACTTCAGAACTATACCAACTCTGGGGCTAGTTAGAGAAACAGAGAAAATTGGTCTGTTTTGCACCTGGAATCAACTTAGGCAGCTTGCAGCCCTGAAGTGACTTTGTGAGATGCTAATGCTTCAGTCTTGGGCTGTGATGTCGTGAGCAGCACTGAAGTTTGATAAACAACGAGATCGTGACCACTGTTTCCAGTCTTGGGAAGCGCATGGTAGTCGTGGTTACCTGACATGCCTTTCTCCCTCTCAACTGACCCAAACCTGGCATCCTGTCTTCTACGGGCAGTCCATCAGTCACTCCGTCACTCTGATGAATAAATAGCCTCTGATAATTCCACAGAAATGACGAACTCCACCAGGGCCCTGGTATAGAAAGCCTTCCGGGTGTCCTATCCCCCAGTGCCCTCCATGGTTTTCTTTAGGCTATTTCTCCTCATTCTTCCTCATTCTCTTGTTATCTCTTCTGCCTATCAAGAAAGCACGATGTGTATTATAATAATGAGCCAATGCTGCATGAAAGCAGGAGAGCCACTGTTTAACTGTGGCCAACGCTACACAAGAAACAGGCTGCCAGGTGTTCTAAGAACTGATGCCTGCAGCAAGAGACCTCGTATCCAGAGCTGCCAACCTGGTCTGGTCCCCGTGGTGTGGTCCATAGAGAGTGGAGTAAACCATTAGTGAGAAAGCAAGTCTGTATTCTAGAGACGACGCCTGGGCAGTGAAGAAGATCCCCAGCAAATGACTTCTATAGCAGAGGGCAGCTGATCTGGGTTTTGAACAAGAGGCCTCTAGGAGTTACTTGCTGCAGAGTGCATCAGCAACGGGCAAGACTAGTTCCCAAATCGTTTCCGGCAGGAGAAACAGAAGCAAGCAAGGATGGAATAGAGCTAATTAGGCTCAAGTCAGTCTCATTCCACCAGTCCCTTCTCTGAACGACTGTTTATGGCACCAGGTATAAACTCAGCACTGGGCTTGATTCCAGGAACTCCTAAACTGTGAGTTTTCCCATCCAATGCTGACTCCCTCTATGTCTTTTGGCAACAAGCTTAGCACTTACCCAGCATTTTCTTCCAACATCAAAGCACTTTGCTACCTTGTATTAATTAATCCCTAGGAAACCCCAAACCTGAAGACATTATGATCCTTGTTCTCAGAGGACACTGAAAGACATTCTGGGCTTAAGTGGGAGGAGTGGATATTCTGGTTTGCTCTGCTAACACAGGTCCCTGTGTCCCTTTCTGTCTGTGATGCTAGACCTTATCCTGTTTTCAAAGAGAGCATTCCACATAGAGTTTTGCCATGGGAAGCAACCTCCTCCTAAGGAGAAATGTTGAACTTTGGCCATCTTTTTCATATCTGTGTGGGGAACAAAAGGTCACAGTGATGATTCCTTGTCACGTTTCCCCAACCCATAAGACACAAGGCAGGCATACTTGTCTGTGAAGGCTACGATAAAGAGCCATCCTGCCTAACTGCATAGACAGGGATCTACTGGGAGGACAAGAGCCAGGTGGAAAGGACCTGGGAGCAGGATGCAAGCAGGCAGCTGAAGGTTCAGTGGGGGGGGGGATCTGAAGCAGGAGTGTGCATCAGAAGTAACTGCTGGCCTCATTATAATGACCTCCAGCTTTCCTGTATCCTTTCCTCCATGGCTCCTGTTTCAAAATCCAAGTAGGTCTGCAAGATTGGTCAAGGAAAGCTGGCATGGCGGTACACATCTGTAATCCCAGCACTGAGGAGATGGAAGTAGAAGGGTAAGTATCTCCATCAGGTTTTCTATTGCTGTGCAGAGACTCCATGACTACAGCCACTCTTATAAAGGAAAACATTTAATTGGGGCTGGCTGACAGGTTCAGGGGTTTAGCTTATTGCCATTATAGTGACATGCAGGCAGACATGGCAGCAGACGTGGCACTGGAGAACCAACATCTGGATTCTCAGGCAGCAGGAAGAGAAAGACATTGGGCCTGGCTTGAGTATGTGAAACCTCAAAGCCCATCCCCAGTGACACAGTTCCTTCAACAAGGCCGCACCTACTCCAACAAAGTCACACTTCCTAATAGTCCCACTCCCTGTGAGTCTACAGGGGGTCATTTTCATTCAAACCCCTACAATAAGGAACTCAAGATCAGCTTTATTTACACAGTAAGTTCAAAGCCAGTTGGGCTACACAAGACCCTGCCTCATGCACCACCAGCCTGTAAGAAAAGAAGATTAGTTATGGATGGGATGAGGAGAGAGTTGAGGACTACCACTTATTGAGAGCACACAGGACAAAAAGACTCAAGGGGATGTTGGTGCTTTTAAGAAGGGGTTTGGATGCTGGACAGATGAACACTGTAGACCCTTCATATGTCTTCAGGGTGGAAGAGAAGAGATTTCATGGAAGCAGAGGTTTAGCTGTGGTTAATAAGAGCTGGGCACATTGGTAGCTGTGGCTGGAGGTTTTTCTTGTTTTTTTTTTTTTTTTTTTTTTTAACTATGGGCCCACTTACTGCAATTTAAATTGAAACCTCGCCATTTTGGTCAGTTTTTTTCTCTTGGAGACATTCTCGCTGTGTAGCCCTGTCTGCCTTGATATTCACTATAGAGCTCATCCTTGTCTCAAACTCCTGCCAATCCTCTTATCTTAGCCTCCCTGAGCGCTGGGATTATAGGCCTGTGTCACAGTGCCGAGTTCTGGTCAATCTTTAGAGACAGTTAATCCCTAAACTCTGTCTCAGTTTGTCAGGGCATGATGCTATAAAAGCAAAGGTTTCAGTGCCCAGGGGACACCTCACATCTCTGAGCCCTGAACTGTTGGCATTATATATCAAGGGAGCTAAATGACACTACAGAGCCATCGTTGTACATAGGAAACAGGCAAGGGAGGCGTCAAAGAGCAGAAAGGAGCCTTGTATGTGTTGTCTAACCTACTAGGTTCTCATGTAGGACTTGGTGGTAGCAGAAACAAAGATGACAAAGGACAATATTTTTCAGTTCTGAGAAGTAAGAGGAAGAAACATAACAGAAGGGTGGGTAGGACCAGGGGCGAGGTATACCCAGCTGGAAAATTTGGCAAATGTTCACATCTAAGGTTAGTGAGGATGGGAGCTTTCTTTGTATGAGAAATACCGTCAAGGAAATAACACTCAGATTCCTTCTAACACAATAGCACTTAGGAACAGAAATACTGGTTCTTCTTGGGAATGCCACTTCCCCATGAGAAAACCATGCCCCAACCTTAACACCTCACGATCCGCTAATGTTCAGATTTCTGTGGACTTGGAAACAGGCTCAGCTCACTGTCAATCTGTGGTGCCAGAACCCCACCACTGTCTGGTATGCAGCCATTTCGGGGGAGGGGGGAAGCACAGATATGCACGGCCTGCATGTCTGGGTGTACTGGGTGTCTGCTTAAGAGAAAACCAAGAAAGAGAATGGAAGCAGAAGTACTGGGAAGCTGGAATCCCACATGCACACAGTGACCACACATTCCGATCACCCCAGGGCACTGAAGGCTTTCCTCTTTTTTGTTTAAACAGAAAAAGGGGAAATGATGGAGGAAGGTCATCTGTCTATGTGTTACTTTCATTGGTTAATAAAGAGAATGCCTTGGCCTTTTTGATAGGCCAGCCCTTAGGTGGGTGGAGTAAACAGAACAGAATGCTGGGAGGAAAAAGGCAATGAGGCAGACGCCATGCTTCTCCTGCCCAAGATGGATGCAGGTTAGAATCTTTCCCGGTAAGCCACGGCCTTGTGTTGATATACAGATTATTAGAAATGGGTTAATTAATATGTGAGAGTTAGCCAATAAGGGGCTGAAGAAAATGGGCCAGACAGTGTTTAAATGAATACAGTTTCCGTGTAATTATTTCGGGAGTAAGCTAGCCGGGATCTGGGTGAGAACACAGCCTGCCACTTCCCTTTTACAACACTTCCTCAAAAATACTCATGTAGAGACAATAAATGTCTGACTACTCTCATTCATTCTAATACTTTGATGACGCATCCAGGACTCTGGGCTAAGGCTGATATATAAGCAAAGACGTTGGCAGTCGGCATGGGTCCTAGACTACTTAGGTCAGGTCCCACAAGAGGATAGTCATCCCCCTTTGTCCTTACGGTCCCTTCGCCGTCATCCCAAGTTCTTTTCAATGCCTTCCCGCTTTGGTTTATCTCATCAGACTCTACTGCCCACGACAGTTGTTGCAATCACCTCCTGTCTAGATTTGCCTCGCCTCTTAGTCCTTGAGGATTTTAGCTTCTGGCTCCCCTATTAGTCTCTTGCCACCTCATCACACCACAATGATCTCATCTAATCTCGTCTAATTAATGGCTTTAAATAGCATCTCAAGACCCGGGCTCTCTCAGTGCTAGCCATGCATCCTTAGTGGCTCACCAGCATCTTTACTTGTGTCACCATCAGACACCTCACACTCAATCTGCTGTGAGGTAAGTGTTTGCATCACAGCTCAAACCCCTCTGCTAATGTTTTCATCATTGTCATCCTAATAAAAGAGACACACTCTCTTTTGGTTAACTGGGGTGGGGTGGGGGGATCTCACATTCACCTTGAATCCTCTCCCCCTTCACACCTGATATTTAGTGTTGGAAAATCTCTGATGCCTCTAGTTTTAAGGCATCTGTGGACTCTACATCTTCAAATTGCCACCACATACGCTGACAACATGATGACGTACCCTCTCTGAAGGATCGCTACAGAATTCTCTCAGCTAGATTTTCTGTCTCTTCTCTTTCTTCTCTACAGTTTATTCTCAGCTCAGGAAAGAGAGTTTATGGCTAAACATAGGTTAGATTGTGGTACTCTTCTGCTCAAAACTGCTATGAAGCTAAAAACCAAACCCTTCATTATGATCTAAGAATTCTAGATGACTTGGCCCCATTTATCATTCTGACCTCATCTTCTATTGGTCTCCCCCTCATTTGCTCTTGTCCAGTCTAGTTGGTTTTCATGTCAGGCCCATTCCTACCCCAGGGCTGTTGAACTTGCTGTTTCTGTGGCCTAGAATGTATTTCTCTTCAAGATCGGCTTGGCTTGCCTTCCCATTTCCCTCATTCTCCTTTCTTCTCAGTAAGGTCAAATCCTTACACACAGATGTAGGTGCATGCATATGTGTTTTATTTACTAATATTTCCCCAGGTCCAGGAAATCTGATGTATAGTTAACATCAAGGAACTGGAGAGAGGGCCCAGCAGTTAAAAGCACTCGTTGCTCTTTCAGAGGCCCTGAGATTGGTTCCCAGCACTCATATGGTAGATCACAACCATCTGTATCTCCAGTACCAGGAGATCTGGCGCCCTCTTCTGGTCTCTGAAGGTACCAGACCTGCACACAGTACACATGCATACATGCAGGCAGAACACACATACACATAGGATCTATAAAAACATTAACTATGTTTGAAGAGATGAAAGCGTTAGCTACACACACTTTTGGTTTGCCATTCTTTCAACGAATTCTAAGCACCTTATATTGAAAGGAATAGCTATGGCGGGTGTCCCAACTTCTGTCATATAAAAACCCAAAACAAGAAAAATAAAAAAAAAAACTTTTTATATAACTTTGGTCCTTGAGGACCTAATTTTTGCCTATACTCATCCAGACAGGTTCCTTCTGCCTCACCGGCTAGCCATGTGGAAAAAAATCTATTAAGAATGTAGCCTTTTATTGAACCCAGACCTTCTAAATGGTATCCCCCGCTTTTCTCTGTTGTCACCATGACCTCGGTCTAGCTTCTGGCACACACAGTCACTCATGATTCCTTTGTCCTCTGTTTCCCATAGGTTAAACCTCCCCACTGTTATCAGTTTCTTCCATGTTGTAGTTTGTTCTTTTCTCACCATTGTTGCTGCCCTCCTCCAGACACAGTGCTCCACCTAAAGGAAGGTCTGTCAAAGTGGCAGTAGGGTTTTGATGCTCACAGTATCTGTCACTAGCCTGGAGTTTGTGATCCACTGATATGTCACAAAGACAGGGTTTGATGGGTGCCTTAGAGCTGGGCAGGTGGGGCTGGAGGAATCACAACAAACTTGCAGTCTGCAGGACTTGATGGGCACAGTGTGGAGAGACAGGACCAACTGAGGGTCAGTGACATTGATTAGGGATGTCACCGGGAACGCTGGGAGGAAGGGCTCCCTCAGGGTAACCAGTCTTTGATCTGGGGCATGGCTGGACAAGTATGGATCTGAATCCATGGAAATTCTGCCTCATACTTGAGTGTCCTGAGAACCTTCCAAGATGCTCCAGGTAGGCATTTGGTCACATTTTCCAATGAGTTGGTCAATGGTATTGTTTTGATGTCAGATGTGATGTGGGAAGTCTTAGACTCAGCAGCAGAAGGGCTCAGAGGCAGTCCTAAGCCAGCCATTTCACTGAGCGTCAGTGCCTTCATCTGGAGAATAACACACGCCAGGCTGTTTGCATGGCTGGAGAGTTAAATGAGGCAAAGCTGGGCACTGTGCTACACACCTGTAGTCCTAGCACCTGGGAGTCTGAGGCAGGAGGATTGTGGGTTTGAGGACAACTTGGGTAAGTTCCAGGCCAGTCTGTAAATACACAGTGAGACCTCTAGGGGGGGCGGTTATAAATATTTTGTGTGCAAGTTAATGAGATGCGAAGGCAAAAGCTATTTCTAGGCTTTTACTCTGAAAAGGCCCTGAGTCCATCATCTGTCTAACCCACGCAAGGGCCCTGGAGATGTACCTGAAAACGGGGATGACGTAGTCACTTGGAAAGATGCCAGCTCGGCCTGTGACTAAGGAGAGACCCCTCAGCCAGCCATCTTGGTACTTCCCCAACACCTTGATGCCTTCTCCCTTCTGCAGGTCCAGCTCCTCAGGTCCGTGGGCTGAATAAGCATGCAGGGCTACAAACCTGGAAACACAAGGAGCTCGTAAGGGAGGCGGGGCATGCCTGGGGAGGGCGCAAAACTGAGGAAGGACTGGGGGAGGCCAGGCCCTAGTGCTCACCTGCCAGCACCTGGCAACAAACACCGTTAAAAATGGAAACTCAACCACGGAAGGCAGACAGAAGTGGAACCTGGCTGAAATGCCAGTGGATCTCCTGCCTTTGTCTCTCCATTCCATAGGGTGAGGCACAGTTGGCAATCAGATAGGCCAACATGGGCACTGTGACAATGGGGAACTGACTTGAAGGACAGGATCAGTGGCAGAGGTGTGTGACAGTCCACGTTAGTTTCTCACTACTGTCTGCTGTCGTTCTGAAAACAGTAAGGCTCAGGGTGACAAGAGTCACCTCACAGAAACCTCTCAGAAACCCTCTTTGGACTGAGAGTAGGGGTTGGTTTGACATCTAGGAGTGGCCTGGGAGACAGCTGGATGCCAACTGCAAAGTGTACGCTGGGAAGGAGGAGGCAGGGCTGACTATCATTCTTATTTCTGCACATAATGATTCCACGGGCTCAACAGTAGGTGGAGGGGGATGGGTTTGTATGATGCAAAAATGTGAGTGAGGAGAAAGAGGACACTGTATTCTAAAGTTCACACAGGAGTCAGGTAGGTGGCGGCCGAGTATGAGGACAGCAGCGAACAGTCCTGAGGCTGAGGACATGAGAGCCGCTGCCTCATGGAAGGCATTAAAGGAAGAACTTAATTGCCTTGCTGGGCTCGGGGTCACTTTTAGCCAGGCGTGTCCAAGCTTTTGACATTGTGACATGATGTTGTCATCTGCAAAATTTATGCCCCATAACTGTATAATTGAATTTACGACAAGTAAAAAAGCAGAATAGATCTGATAATGTTTTAAGTTAGCTTACGATTGTGTGCTGGGTGGCATCTATAGCTATGTTTGGTCTCATGTGGCATGTAGGCTGCAGACTGGACAGCCTGGTAGTCCTCTGAGATCCCAAGGACCATGAGACACACATAAACTCGTTATCAAACTGGACCTTATTTGCGAGTGTTCTTACCTACAAAGCTGAATCTATTTGTTTTTACTGATCCTAGTAAGTCAGTATTCATTTCTGACCCAGTATTTTAAACCTGCAGGGAGACAATAGAGACTGCTCAGTACCCAGCCTCCTAGCAGTGCTGTACTTTCTAATCTGCAGTTTTCTCATCCGTGCTCATCACCATCGGTGGTGGAAAAGGAGGCGGGGCTAGCCGTTTGGGCATGGGGACTAGGTGGCAGAGGGTTGCCAGGATGAGAGCTCTGCTCCAGAAGCTAGGGGAGGAGGTGCCACGCTTTTTACTCACATGTTAGCTGAGAGCTGTTGCTGGGAGCTGGGCACACTGACCATGGCTGTGGAATGTCCCGGGGAGGCAGGTGCAGGCTGAGAAGTGCTGACCTATACAGACAGGAGAAACAGCCAAGCAGAACCGGTGAGCACCCCAAGCCAGGCAGGTGAACAAATCACAGAGCAGCTTGACACGGCTGAAAACCAACAGCCATATCCAGCACTGCCCACCTGGCCATCTCTCTGGTTTGTTGTTTGAGGTAGAGTGAGGGGGAGCAGGTGTCTTATGGCCGGTCCAGGTAGTGTTCTGGGCTGAGTTTTCAAAGTATGGCAGGCTGTCAACTGAGAGCCAGCAGGACTGTGAGCTTCTCCTGTCCCATCCCACCCAATCCCCATGTGAAAACCGGCACGTGGAGAACGACGGGACACTGACTGAGACTCAGGACTTAGCTCCTCCCCCACACTCTTAAGATTCTTTTAAGTATCAACAAATTTAGTCTTCACTGGAGGTAGCGTATTAATCCCCATTTTTTCCCTCAGAAGCTGAGACATTTTGGCGGGGACAACAGTTACTTAACTAGGACAAACACATTTTAAAATTAAATCTAGGATATGAGCTGACCTGCTCATTAACTACTGATAGCATTAAAGCACACACATACAGAGACACAGAGACACACATACACACACACACACACACACAGACACACACACATGTCTTAGCAGGGTATACAATAGCTTCCAGAACATGATTCTGAATCCTTTCCATTTCTTCCAGATAAAACCAGATCAGCAATGACAGAAACCTCTAAACTCTGCCTACTCTCCTAGGATTCTTCCTTTTGTCTAACAGGCTGTTGTGCTTAAAGAAAAAGTGTGTGTGTGTGTGTGTGTGTGTGTGTGTGTGTGTGTGCATGTCCATGCCCGTGCATGCACAAAGGTGGCAGTCAGAGAAAATTTTATAGAAATCAGCTGTCTCCACTATACAGGCCCTGGGGATAGAATTCAGAGCTTCGATCATCAGGCTTGGCAGCAAGCACCTTTCCCTGCTGAGCCATCTCATTAGCCCTTCCCTTGTCCCCCTCTACTCCTGCCTTTCCTTTTTGAGACAGGAACTCTCACTGGGACCCAGGGCTTGCTGATCATGCTCGGGTGGCCAGCCAGTGAGCCATCTCTGGGACTATAAGTATACACCACAACATCTGGGTCTTTTATGAGACTTCTTGGGATTGAACTTGTCTTCTCACTTGTGTGGCAAACATTTGAAAGGCTGAGCTATCTTAGAATATTCTCCTGCTTCCCTTTCCAGCCTTGCCTGTCTTAGGTAGGGTTTCTATTGCTATGACAAAAAACCATACACTTCTGTATTGCTGTTCATTATTAAGTCAGGACAGGAACTCAAATAGGACAGGAACCTTGCAGCAGAAGCTGATGCAGCAAACACGGAGGGCTTGCTCCCCATGACTTGCTCAGTCTGCTTTCTTATAGAACACAGGACCACTAATCTAGGGGATGACACCACCCACTGATGGGCTGGGCTCTTCCCCATCAGTCACTAATTAAGGAAAAGCCCTACAGGTTTTTTTTTAAATTTCAAAACCTCTTTTACAACCTAAAATCTCCTAAAAATTTAATCTCTCAGCTGTGGGATCCCATAAAATAAAAAAAACCAATGATTAAATAATTCCTACTACAAGAATGAAATACCAGTGCACAGTCACAGTTTGACCAAAGCAATGTCCACTGTCTGGGATTCACTCACAGTTGTCTGGTCTCCTTCATAGAGCTTGGGTCACGTCTCTAGCTCTGTCCCCTGCATCACACACAGCTTGCCTTCCAAGCTTGGGTAGGAGTCACTCCCCCCGGCTGCCGCTGTTCTCGGTGGTCATCCCATGGAACTGGCATCTCTAAAATGCTAGGGTTTCCTGCTGCACCTGGACTGTGCTTTCACCAATACCCTCTCCTGGGCTCTCTTCACAGTGCCAGGTCACAGCTTCTCTGCATGGCCCCTTCAGTCTTGGGTCTTTAACTGCTACTGAGGTTGCACCTTCATCGATGGCCTCTCCTGGCCTCTCACAGAGCCGAAACGTAGGTGCTCTCCATGACCCGTTGCCTTCAAAATCGGTACAACCTGGGTGACTCTTACATTACCAGGTTAGGCTACCAGCGCGAGGCACAACCTTGGCCACCTTTGGAACGCAGCTTCTGTGTGCTGACTCTCAGGAAACACTTCCCAGAAGACTTTACCTCACTGATGCTGGTCTCTTCTTAATCATCAGTAATTTCGCACCTCCAGCTAACCAGCATTAATTATACCAGTGAAACAAAGATGATTTAGTGGTTCTGGTCTCTAGTTAATTGCAGTTGATTCTTCAGCCCCACCTGACTGGAACCGCATATTCTACCACAAATGCCTGGTAGAATCTTTGCTTCCCTCTGAAACTTTCCAAGCCAGGCCCTCAGGGTCTGCATGGCTCTCAACATTCTTCAAACCTCTGACAAAACAGTTCACTGAACTCTCAGTACTGAATGGCTCTTATAGCCCAAAGTTTCAAAGGCCTTACAGTCTTCCCTAAAACATTTTCAAGTTTGTCACAGCAATGCCCACAGTCCTGGCACTAACTTCTTCTGCCTTAGTTTGGGTTTTATTGCTATGAAGAGACTCCATGACTGTATCAACTCTTAAAAAGGAAAGCATTTAATTGGGGATGGCATATAGGTTCAGAGGTTTAGTTCGTTATTATTATTGTGTGAGGCATGACAGCATGCAGGCAGATATGGACCTGGAGGGGTAACAGATTTCTATGTCTGGATCCAAGGGCAGAAGGAGAGAGGAAAACCACTGGGCCTGGCTTAGGCATAATGAAACCCCAAAGCCCACCCCCAGTGACACATTTTCTCCAACAAGGTCACACATGCTTGAGCAAGACTGCACCTTCAAATACCGCTCCCTAACCATTCAAATATCTGAGTTAAACATATGGGGGCCATCCTTATTCAAGCCTCCACGCTTCCTCTGCCCCTGCTCTTCCTCTCAGCCATGCCATCTCTTTGGCCATGCTGTTTTTGCCATTTGCTTCTCACCTCTTCCTTGTTACTTCTATTTTATATCAAAAATATAAGTCATAAACACATCATGTGCACAGCAAGTCTATATAATTTTTTAAAAATATTTATTTATTTATTATACAATATTCTGTCTGTGTATATGCCTGCAGGCCAGAAGAGGGCACCAGATCTCATTACAGATGGTTGTGAGCCACCATGTGGTTGCTGGGAATTGAACTCGGGACCTTTGGAGGAGCAGGCAATGCTCTTAACCACTGAGCCATCTCTCCAGCCCAAGTCTATATAATTTTATGCATCACTTACATAATACTGTAGATGATGCGTGTATCCATATCACCTAACTCAGAATACAGATGGAAATTGGATATTGTACTTAGCAACTCTCTGCATCTTTCTCAGTAGCCACATGGCTCCCCTCTCTCTGGAGCAACAGTCCTCAACCTGTGGGTTGTGACCCTTTGGGGTCCCATGTTAGAGACCGTGCATGTCATACATTTACATCACAATTCATAACAGTGGCAAAATAAAAAAGTTACAAAGTAGCAATGAAGTAATTTTATGATTGGTGGTCATAACCTGAGGAACTGTACTCAAGGGTCACAGTATTAGGAAGGTTGAGAACCACTGCCCTCGAGGTAACCATAGTGCTAAGGTGTGTGCTCATCATCTGATCATTCCGGGCCCTTTCAGTGTAGTTTCTTCCTGGCACACATTTTTGCACCTGTTTCTCTGCTTTGTCTGCTGTGAACATCATATAAAAGAACATGCAATAAGTACATCCTGCGACACGGGGGTTTGCTGTGTATTTGTGGCTCCTGTCTAGTATTTCATGGCAGGAATATACCACCATGGGACTCTTCTATCGTTTATATGTCATTTGGGCGGCTTTTAGTCTGGGGCTGTTATGAACAGTGTTGCTATGAACATTCCTGTACATGTCCCCCGTGCCCATGTACAAGTTTCTCCAGGATATACACCTAGGAATGGAATTGATGGGCCGTAGGGCAGGAGCCTGTTCAGTTTTATTAGGTAATAACAAATTGTTTCCCAGAGTGGCTGTAACAATTTACACGTCTGCCAGCAACTCATGACAATTCCTGTTACTTTAGAGTCTTGCCAGCATGAGGTAACACGCAGCTCTTTAATGTCTGCTCATGTGGTGGTGTGAAATGCTAACTCATTGTGGGTTTACATTCATGTCTCTGAAATGCCAATGAATTTGAACTTATTCATTTTCCCTGTTTTCAAATGGTTACCGATGGTTATTATTACATGAAATGTCTGCTCATATCCTTTCTCTCTCCAAAGCCCTCTGGTTATTTATTATTTTCTCACTAAGTTGTGGAATCTATTATTTTTAGATATAAATCCCTTGTAGCGTGTATTTTTTTATTCTGTGGTATTTTTTTGATGGACAAACATAATTATATAATGCTTTCCCATACAATTCTCACTTTTGAAAAATCTTTGCTATGATGCCCTTTAATCTCGGGGTCATGAGGTACATTTCTATGTTGCCTTCTGAAAGTTTTACCTTTCATATATAAGTTCTTTAGTCCACATGGAACTGATTTTCGATGAGGGAGGAATCAATCCAGTTTCATCCTTACCCCACATGGACACCCAATGAATCCAGCTTTGGAGTTCATTCTTCCTTTCTGACCCATGGAGCTGTTTGCCATAAATCACATCTCCACATGGTTTGTTTCCATGTTTTCTAGTATGTTCCACTGGCTTAAAAGAAGCTGGAGTAAAGTATTAGCATGGCTTGGACTTAGTTTTAAAGTAAGAAGTGACATCTGATCCTCAGACCTCAAGCCCCGTCCCAAGCAAACCCCAACCCTTCTCCTTGGAAATCGCAATTGCCTCTGGCTTTTCTTGCTCCCTCTAAACCTTAGGAGTTACTGCTGGAGTTTCATAAAAACGAACTCTAGATGTGTGAATCTGGGGGGAGAAGAGCAACTTTAAGATATTGAAATAAGGGTGTGATAGCACATCCCTACGATCACTCAGGAAGCGGAGACAGGAGAGTCATGATTAAA